AAAAAAAAGCAAATGTCCTTGAATATGCTGTGAACAACTAGACGCTCCAAGAGCGTTTCATTTACTCTGGCTTTGTACCACAATATCAGATTGTACTTTACACAACATGTACAAGTAGGTAAGCGTATTTGACACATATAAAAACATAAAAGAATCAGGATATTTAACACAAGAGTTCTGCTTAGATATTTACTGTTCAAGTTGCTTTGTTGAGTATCTTCTTTATCCAACTGTTTGTTGTTTGCGTCATCTTTAAAGTTCTGCTTACCACGATTCTTGATTTTTTCAACATCTGTGATGTTCACCTCAGCATCATAATTTGTTTGTACTCATTACTCGGAGCTTTTTTGTCAGTGTTTTTGTAGTTTGAACTCCTACATGTACATGGCTACTTTGTTCTCTTGTGAGAACAAGCATGAACTTTGCTTATTTGGCAGGCTTTCAAGCAATAGAATTTGTGGACCAACCTGTTCCAAAAATGATAGACATTTTGTTTGTGAGATGACTGTATAAGGCTTTATTCTTTCCCAACTTTCTTCACGAATCAGAGCATTCTATATATTACATTGTTCACGAAGAGCTAGCACACGACAAGCAAGCTGTCACATTCAATCTCATCTCCAATTTCCACCTTCTACACTAGGAACGCGTGCCACCATGACACCCTTTTGGCGACCAAGACAAATCAGTTTGCATTTTAAGACTTGGGCTTCATACAGAAGCCTGAGTAAAAAGGTCTGATGTCTGTTTGAACCCTGTTCATGTGCCTAGAGATATACCTTCAGTTTGGTATCATTATATACCAAGGTCATATACATGTTAAAATATTATATCATGTTCTCTATCTAACATGTAAATTTGTTCTAGGCTTGACTTGGAAGTTGAACCAATATTTGCATCAATGGCTCTTTATGATGGCAGAGTGAAAAAAAAGGTGTGGCTTCTATTTGATAAACTTGAAACAGAAGTTCTGTGAAGGAGCTAATATATTGTAATCTGACTCATTCTCATACTGGTTGAGTCTTGATTACTACATTATCTTGGTTGAAAACATTATGTCTTAGAAGCATGAAAGAGTATTTTTCAATAAGTGTAAGTTATTGACCAAAGAAGGGAGTGATCAGAGGGCAGTGAAGCCTGCAGCCATTAGCTGTTGATGATTTTCTTTGATATATCAGCATCTTTTTACTGCTTCAGATGGCTATGATATAATATGTTTATGGTGCTACATGGTTGTTGTTTCCTCTGCTACCTTCTTTTGTGTTGCTTGATAATTTTTGTTCTTGGTTATACCATAATAATAATAATAATAATTATTATTATTATTATTATTACTATAATTATTATGCCATTATTATTATTGTTATAATTATATTATTATTGTTATAATTATATTATTATTGTTATAATTATATTATAAACAACCATTTTTTATTGACACTTTTCTTTCATTTTTTCTTATCCAGATATCAGAAAATTTTTACTTTGACATGAACAGCGAATGGTGCAGGAAGCTAGTCAAAGAACACACTTCTCGCACAGATATTTCCACTCTTAGTCGATCAGCAGTGTTTTCCATTACATACCCCTCAACTGATGTGTTTCTTGTCATTAAGTTGGAAAAAGTTCTCCAGCAAGGTGACATAACTGAATGTGCAGAGCCATACTTGAAAGATGCAGAAAACCCTAAGGTTAGTTTAGTTACAGTTTTATTTATTTATATATTTATTTATTTATTTATTTATTTATTTATTTATCCAACCCAAGCAACCACACAAACAAGATACGCTCAGTGATTTCTGTGTGTTTGTTTGTTTGTTTGCTTGTTTTATCAATTTGTTGTTTCAGTCTAGGAGGGGAGGAAATGGAATAAATATAACAAATTCATCTGCTTTACAGTACCAAGAATGCGTGGTGCATGACAGAAAGGCCGGTGACGATCAGAGATCAGTACCGGAGTAGAGGCCAAAAACAAAGCAAGGCTTGAAAGTTTTCCTGATATTTTGGTGTAAAATAAGTATCATCAAGTTCTCCAAACATTAAAACTCAATAATCAGGTATTGTCAAAATATTCGCTGAGAACATTAAAACTGCATTTCAGTTAATGGACAAGATTCATCCGTTTCTACACAAAATGGTGACTTTTCAGCTACTTTCTTGAATTTTGTGTGCTTCAAAATTATGAGTGCCCACAACTTTTATTACAGATATTTGTAGCTTAGGCCTAGTAAATTGTGCTGATAACAGTCATTTTTCATGTAGAGGTGTAGCATTTGGAAAAAATATGTTTGTTTGGAGGCTATGTCAGGAAAAACGGCAAAGACGTTTTTTAGAGGATAAGGAAAAAACATCATAACTTTGCTTGTGTTTGAGACAAGTAAACAGTCTTTAGTTGTGTGTAAAGAGGAAAGAATTATGCAGTAGCTCTGAAAGAATTATTCAGATTGTTTCATTAAATGTGCAAATTTTAAGAAAGCTTAATGTAACTCCCAAATTTTGGAGTTTCAATTTCCGGTTTTGTGTGGTTTTCAAGGTGCCTACAAAAAAAATTCTCCAAAAGATAAAGAAAGCGAATCCATCGAAGTAAAGGCCATTTTCGTTCAATGCACATGTTGCTTGACTTGCATAGAAAAAAATGAAGGCAATCCATTTTCCACAAAAATTTGAGTGGTAGGTTCTTACACGGACACGCTCTTAAAAACTTTTATTCTAGGTCACTCTAGTAGGCTTTATTCAACTAATTCTGTGGGCCTTATTTCTGGCGCTCTCTGGGGTGCAGTCTATGTTCTTCCCCCAGCAGCAGCTGGTAATCAAGTCAGCAAATTTTGATTTTTACAGAAAACTGTGAACACCTAAAGTATGTCTGGAATATTTATTGTGTTATAACCAATCATGAGCGAGATCTTCAAGCACAGAAACCACAGAGAGCGGATGTGAACTATAAATTTAGTTTTCAGTTTTCGCTTAGTCCCTAGGTACTAGACTTGCTACAAGTCGACCTTCACTCAATTAGTCATCCCTCAAGCAAAGCAAGAGGCAGATTGAGAAAAAACTAACGATGGAAATGAAATACTATTGGAAAGGACTTTTAGAAAGTCTACAAGATACATGTCGTATTTATATTAAAAAATTCTCCAAAAAATAAAAACTAACAATGGAAATGAAATACTATTGGAAAGGACTTTTAGTAAGTCTACAAGATACACATGTCGTATTTATATATTGCTGAAAGTATAAATGATTGGTATTTGTTTGTATCCTGAACCACATCCAGGACTTAGTTTGAGGGATTTTGGAAAACAAGAATGTTGCCAACGTGTATGGTTAGTCAAGCAAAGTGACAGTTAATTTGACGCAACTATACATAGGGATGATTAAAAATCTAAAATTTTGGTGGTTTCTCTAACCTTGGTATCATCTTTGGTTAAACTAGCAACT